CAGTCCACCAACCATATCATCACATAAGAGTTGAAAACAAGCCATTTAATATAGTTGTGGCTTCTGTTACTTTTACTAGAGCATCCTAGTGGTGCATCCCCACAGCAACAGGGCCTACATCTGCTTCTTTCAAACAACAGATTATTCTATCAGACTTTTAAAAAATAGCTGCACCTAATTTGATCAGTGCAGCTGTCCAACTTTACAGAGTGCAGTATTTCTTTGTCTGCATAAAAGAGGCAACGAAAAAACAACCACCCTGGCATTTGGGAAACAGACATTTCCAGTTTATTGGAAAACACATTAGTCTGATGTAAAATAAAAGGATTGGAATAATGAAAACACTGAGAAACAACTGAAAAAAAATTTCAATGTAATGTGATTTTCACGTGCCTGGGCTGCAATCAGCTTTTAAAAAGTGTCAGGTCACAGCAAACAGTTGTTAGCAAGGCTTCTTTCAAAATGTTTATTAGCAAATTTACAGCGTACTCTTTGGCTTCCGCATTTAATCTTTTAAAACACAGATAATTTCAGCTGCTAATTCAAGCCCTTTAAGCAGTTTCTGAATTAATGCCACAAGTGATGCTACAATGTACGTTAAACTGAAAATGTGTAAATACAGACTTCTGATCTCTGGGAGTTAAAGCCCATAGTGCAGAGGTACCCACAGATTTATGACTAGGGCCCTACCAAATTCACAGTCCATTTTGGTCAATTTTACAGTCATAGGATTTAAAAAATTGTTAATGTCATGATTTCAGCTATTTAAATCTGAAAGTTCAGGGTGGTGTAATTGTAGGGGTCCTGACCCAAGGAGTTGTGCGGGGTGGGGTCGCAAGGTTATTGTAGGGGGGCTTACTTCTGCGTTGCTGCTGGTGGCAGTGGTGCCTTCAGAGCTGGGCAGCTGGAGAGCAGCACTGCAGAAGTAAGGATGGCATGGCATAGCATAGTATTGGCACCTTTACTTCTGTGCTGTTGCTGGCGGCAACTCTGCCTTCAGATCTGGGCTCCCGGCCAACAGCTACCCGTCTCCAGCCACCCACCTCTGAAGGCAGCACAGAAGTAAGGGTGGCAATACGGCGACCTCCCTAAAATAATCTTGTGACCTCCCTGTAACTCTCTTTTGGGTCAGGACCCCTAATTTGAGAAACACTGGTCTCCCCGGTGAAACCTGTATAGTTTAGGGTAAAAGCACGCAAAAGACCAGATTTCACGGTCTGTGATGCATTTTTCATGGCCATGAATTTGGTAGGGCCCTACTTATGATTGAGGGCAGCCCATAATGTGTGGGGCAATCCTGAATTTAACATGGAATGAAGGTCTGCTGCTGGGTGAGAAACTGAGAACTTGTGGGAAGGAAATTTGAGGTTGAGGGAATTAGCAAAGTAACTATGGCTATGTCTACATTGGGCTGCATTGCAGACTAGGGGTGTGTGGACTGCAGTGTGCACCAAAGAATTGTGCTGTAACTGCCTCATGTGGATGCTGCTGGAGAGAACTAAAAGATAACTGTGTTTAGGTTACCTGTTTGAAGGAGACCCATGTTAACGTTAACTAGGTACCTTTTGGTTCACGCTCGCAGTGTCCACACGGGGCAGTTACAGCGCAGCATGCTAGAGCGCTCTGCAATTCCCAGCCCTGCAGTCTGAACTGCAGGGCGATGCAGACAAGCCCTATGGTACTAGTACTGCAAATACGAAGAAGCTTTTTTTAAATACCTCTGAGTCTTTAAAGATTATTTCCTATTTTAACAATAATCAACAGAGAAATCCCCACTGAGTAGTAACTCACTGAGGATATTAATTTCTTACAACTGGACTGGAAAACCTTCCAAGGACTGGAAAACACACTTTACGAGAGACTAAAGAAGCTCAATCTATGTAGTTTAATCTAAGAGAAGGTTAAGAGGTGCCTTGATCACAGTCCCTACATAGGGACAAGATTTCTGACAAGAGAGGGCTTTTCATTCTAGCAGAAAAAAGTACAACAAGAGCCAGTGGCTGGAAGCTGAAGCTAGATAAATTGAGAGATGAAACAAGGCACCCATTTCTAACAGAGGTTAATTAACCAATGGAATAATTTACCTAAGGATTTGAAACCTTTAAATCAAGATTATTGGGCAAATGATCATTCCTTATGACACAGGCTACCCCCTGCCCTGGCGCCCTTACAGAACATGAAAGGGGTTCAATCCACAGATCCCAGAGGATTAGCTGAGTCCAGTGCCATCTGGAAGGGATCCCTGTGCCTCCACTGCTGGTCTTTTGACTTCCATGGTTGCACAACTCCTGCAGGAGTCACACGCTAACAAGATCCGCCCATTGGCCTCTGCCTGGGTTCATCCCCATCTTCCTGGGCTGTGTGTGTGAAGAACTGCAGATTCTGGCTGGGAGAACTGAATAGGACAGTGCAGACTAGATCAGAGATTGAAGGGGCAGAATGGTATCATGAAGAGCAACCAGTCTTGCCCTTTCCACACCTGCAGAGCTCAAGGTCGACAGGGGTTAGTGGAAGCATGCCACAGAGCCAATGCCTATGCTCCCATATCCAATGGTTTTAAGGTCTCCTTTAGACTCAGATGTGGTTGCAATTTAACAGGACCAATCACCACACTCCAAAAGAAAACTGGGAGCTTATAATGGAAATTCTCACAGAGCCTTAACATTCCTGTCTCACTAACTCAACATCTTTCCATCACTGAGATACCTTAATGTTTGACATGTACAAGAAATGATATCCAATGGCTGGAAGACCATTGCTGAAAAGGTATGTGAAGTATAGACAGGGGAAAAAAAGCCACGCGCCTGGAAAACACTTCATTGCTTTTTTATTAGATGCACCCACAGTACAGAGCCTCTTGCAAAAGAGAAAGGATACATATTTATATCTGGGAGCACCATTGAGTTTGAGTTTGTTTCTTTAATACCATTTTTAAGAAAGTAAACGATGTCCAAAGAATGACATTTTGAATCCAAGTCTTTAAGACCTGCTTCACTTTACCCAGAGGTAAGAGGATTTACCAGAGGTGGAAGATTTTTCTTTTTATTATTACCTTGCTGTAGCATAGAAGACATTTTCATAGTCTGGTTAGACCAGTCTATATATTTCCATAAGCAACTTTTCATATATAAAAAATGTTTTATTTCCCCACCCACCCAATAGTTTAACTGCATCTAGATTTAAAAACAGTAATGGACCACGGCATTCTTGGGGAGGGGGGAGGGGGAAGAGTGGGAAATGAACTTTTGCTGCCCTCTCCTGCTTAAACAATGAAATACTAAAATATCAAGAAATCTATTACTCTAATGCTAATTTTTAAACAAAAAGCATGAGCAGGTCATTCTTTATACTACAATCAAAAATAGGACAATGACAAGAAATGTATTGGTATTATTTATATTTGAAACCCCCTCATCAATACATGAGGTTATGATTATAACATATTTACAGTAAGTGATCCAAAAAAAAAATAAACCTGTATTCAGAGAGGTCATGATAGAATGTCTGTTTCTCTTAAACAGATGCTGCTGCTTCTGTGGCTAGTAAGCAGCACTTGGATAAAACTTTCTTCTAAATCAAAGTTAGCTGAATTTTGCTTCAAGGATACACAATCCTTTTATACAGACTCTGAAAGGAAAATATTGGGGAATATAAAAAACTCACTGCCAATACCTACTAGAAAAACTAGTTTGTGGCTCATTACACAGCTATTTTGGAAAGCTGATGAGCCAAGATACAAAAATAAAAATATTAATGTGCAAATAAAAACATTCTTTCATCATGCCTGTTTATCACCCTCATTTTGTCACAGGGCAACTCTCAGTATTGAAAAAAGGGCATCTCTGCCTCCTAAGCCAGTTGTGTGTTCCCATTTGAAAGGAAAATGAGGTGCACTGGAGGAGGAAATATCTATCCAGTTCTCCAACTCTCCCACAAAACAATAAAAAAAGCCTTTAAAGCTCGTAATATATTTTCTTTTTCCATAGTGTAAGAGAGCCTGAGGCGATACTTACACATGTACAATATAAGTACAGCTGCTTCAATTCTAGCTCAAGCAGTTCTTGGCTCTGCATCCTGGATTGTTCCATATATAGAAGGAGGTAAAAATAAATTAAATCCTTCTATTTATGCGAACAAAACCAAGATTAATTTACTGTAACCCTGCTTGCAAATACTCCAATGGCATTAGAGTACTTTTATTTAAAGCATTCAAAGGTTTGGAAGAGAGACAAAAAACACTCAATAGCAATGAAAAGAAAACAATAAGGAAAGCTTGCAAGATGAAGAAAGCAATGCATGCTCAATTTAAAGTATGCAAGAAGAACTTTTACAGCTGTTACATCCCCATAACCTGATGCAATGCTCTAGTTTTGAAAATGTAGTTCATTACTTTTACCTGACAACATTCAATCCTTTCCCCTGTAACCAATATGGTACAAGACATGAGTGATCTCCCATCAACTGTAATGTTAGCAGTCTACAAAAAACTAACAACAAAAGTAAAAAGCAACAGAGGGTCCTGTGGCACCTTTAAGACTAACAGAAGTATTGGGAGCATAAGCT